TATATATATATATATATATATATATATATATATATATATATATATATTATATATATATTATATATATATATATATATATATATATATATATATATATATATATATATATATGTATATAATTAGATGCATGGATAGATAGATAAATGTATGTGCGTGTGTGTGCGTGTGTATGTGTGTGTGAGTGAGTGTGTGTGTGTGTGTGCGCAAGTCCTACTCACACAATGCAACACGATTCGAGGAACTTGTTAAATGATACGTACTCGCCAGTGAGGAATTCGCTTGTTTAAAGAAGAAGAAAAGGGCCAAATAGACTTCGTTACTTCCGCCAGGCAAGGGAAAGCACGGAGGTCCGTCTTATTCGGAACAAAGGAAGAGTTCGCCTTGGTTGGTGGATTTCCCTTTTTTTCTAGGAAATTCCGTTTTTCTTTGGTCTTTTTTCGTATCTTTATCTTTGATTTAGCTGCTTTTATAATGTCAACTGCTGTCTGCTGTTATATAATCGTTGTTATTGAAACTAGCTGAGATAATGTTGAAAATATTAATAATGAAACTATAATGGCATTGATATCACTCATACCTATATATATATATATATATATATATATATATATATATATATATATATATATATATATATATATATATATATATATATATATATATATATATATATATATTATATATATATATATATATATATATATATATATATGTTGGTGTATATATATGTATATATATATATATATATATATATATATATATATATATATATATATATATATATATATATATATATATACACCAACATACATATACATACATACATACATACACATACTTACACACATACACATACACACACATGTGTGTGTGTGTGTGTGTGTGCGTTATTAACCATTTTCATCTTCATTTCTACTTCTATTATGAGTAGCCATGCTATCAACATCAAATTAAGGGGACAATACTTTAGTGTTTCTTGCAAACTACAACAAAATCGCAGTAGATCATAACAGAGAAAAGTGTAGAATGAAGTAAAACAAGATAAAGGAAGATGAAAAATCAAATAATTTAAGGTTGTCCGGCATCCCGTTGTAATGTGTGAGGGAGAGCTTAGCTTCTTCAACATATTAATTGTTATCTGTGTATAAAGAGGAAAATATCAACAATTTGAAAACTCTCAGGCTCTCATATCTCTATGTCTGTCTGTCTGTAATTCACTCTCTCTCTTCTCTCTCTCTCTCTCTCTCTCTCTCTCTCTCTCTCTCTCTCTCTCTCTCTCTCTCTCTCTCTCTCTCTCTCTCTCTCTCTCTGTGTGTGTGTGTGTGTCTTGGATTCCCTCCTCCCTCTCCCCCTCCCTTTCTCTTATTTCTTTTCTCCCCCCCCCCCTGTCCATTATCTCCATTTCTCTCCTACCTATACCCCCCCCCCCCCCGACTCTCTCTCTCTCTCTCCCACACTCTCCATCCATATCAAACTCTCTGACTTTTTTTTTTTGAGACAAGTGTACACTCTATCATCCCTGTTCTCTCACTCACTTTCTGCCCCCCTCCCCTCTCAAGCCTCCCTCTCTCTCTCCTCCCCCCTCCCCCTCCCTCCAACTCCTACTTCCTACCACTCTCTCGCATCTATTTCACTTTTCAAACCAACCGAAGTTTTTTTTTACGGTCAATTTCCCATCCCAAACATGCTAGATGATAAATATTTGGCCTTCCACTCCGCCAGCTCGCTTCTCGGTACAAGAACCGATTAAGCCTCCTTTATGGTCCTTCCTCTTTTCATGAATATTATATCAGCTGGAAAAGCTACGAGAGGCACGTACTCTTCTCACCCCCCCCCCCGCCCCCTATCCCTAAGCCCAGCCTCTGCTCCTCCTTCACCCCTAAGCCCCTCCTCTGCTCCTCTCTTCACCCCTAAGCCCCTCCTCTGCTCCTCCCTCCACTCTCTAAGCCCCACCTCTTCATTTCAGCCCTACCCCCACCTCCCCCCCCTATTATTATTTCAAAGTCCCATGGCCCTTGGGTAGTACCTTGTGTCATACCCCGTCTATATAATCCCATTTCACTGTCTAAATCCTATATCTTCCTTACCTCTGACCCTTGTTCCTTTCGACCTTCCGTCTTCTTGCCTTAAACCCCTACTTCCCTCCAACCCCAATCCTCGCCTTACCTCCTCTCCCCTTTCCCCCTTGCTTCAGATGTCCACTCTCTCCCTATCTTCTCCCTTACCTCTTCCCCCTTCGCCCTTCCTTCAAACCACAAGTCCCTCTCTACCTTTTCTTTTACCTTTCCTCTCTTCCTCTCTCCCCCTTGATTCAAATTTCCACTCCCTTTCCTTTTCCCCTTCCCCCTCCGCCTTCGCTCATCACACATCTCTCTCTACCCTATTCCTCCCCCCCCCCATCCTCCAAATCTCTGGCCCCTCCCCCCAGCCCAGCCTCCCAATACCTTGTTGACCACAAATCACTTTCTCTCTGTTTCTACCCCCTCCCCCCCTCTCTCTCTTTTCTCTTTTTTTTTTTTTTTTACGCCTCAGAGTTATGGTCACCACAAGGGGAGGGGAATGAATAGTCTTATTTTAAGCTGAATATGAGTATAGTGTCCCCGAGGTATGGTGAGGTAATTGTCTGACTCCTATCTTTATGGGGTGTGGTGGGGGTGAAGTTTTTCTTTGGGAAATAGGATTTAATATATGAAGCCCTGCACTTATTGGCCGCAGATTGTAAAAAGCAAAAATGTCAACATCGTTCTATGTTGTTGTTGTTATTTTTTGTGTGTATGTATGTGTATATATGTGTGTGTGTGTGTGTGTGTGTGTGTGTGTGTGTGTGTGTGTGTGTGTGTGTGTGTGTGTGTGTGTGTGTGTGTGTGTGTACGCTCAGTAAACCTCACATCTAGCAGTGATGTGTTAGAGATTGCAGAGCAGAAATGTGTCTTCCATGAACATGATAAATTAAGTAACTGATAATAATGCCAATGATAATGATGACGATTTCGATGTATTTACATTTCACATTCAACTTGCATTTAATTCTCAAAAACTATAGAAGCAAGGCACCTAACAAGAAAATAAATGAATAAAAATAAAGATAATATCAAATGAATACATTTTAAGAATAGAAATAAAAGTTTCCAGAGTTGGATGTGGTCAAATAAATGTTTTTGTCGACTATGCAATCGGGAAATAAACTCCACTATAGCCGCTTTGAAACCGGTACGAGAGCCCCCAAACTACCGTAACTTACGAGGTATTTTACAATGTGTGACGCCGAATATCGCCTTCCTAGGACTTACGACATTGTAACGCCAAAGATATGAGGTAAAGCATTGTAAACTGTTTTGAGGATGCGGCTCCTCGTAAGCAATGAAGAATGAAAATAGTGTCAAGAGAAGATATAATATCATCCTTATTGCATCATAGGAGCAGCATGTGAATATGTGAAGGAGAGATAAAAAGATCAGTACACATAAACACACATACACAAACAAACAAGCAAACATAAATCTTCCAACACTCAAACACACACACAAACGCACACATGCGCACGCACACACACACATACACACACACACACACACACACAACAACACAAACACAAACAAACAAACACACGTGCGCACCCAACAAACACACACAAGCAAACAAACACACGCATACAAACAAATAATGAAAGAGAGAGAGAGAGAGAGAGAGAAGGGAATGTAAAGAGAGAGAGAGAGACAGACGACAGACAAAGATAGATAGATAGAGAGAGAGAGAGAGAGAGAGAGAGAGAGAGAAGAGAGAGAGAGAGAGAGAGAGAGAGAGAGAGAGAGAGAGAGAGAGAGAGAGAGAGAGAGAGAGAGAGAGAGAGAGAGAGAGAGAGAGAGAGAGAGAGAGAGAGAGAGAGAGAGAGAGAGAGAGAGAGAGGAGAGAGAGAGGAGAGAGAGAGAGAGAGAGAGAGAGAGAGAGAGAGAGAGAGAGAGAGAGAGAGAGAGAAAGCTAAATTTTCTTACACCTGAGACACCTGCTTTTACCTGCAAACTCATTCATGTCAAATTAGGTGTCGACGTTCCCTAGGGAGACACCTCACGCCATTTTATTATTCATGAGGAGATTTCTTCACCTGTGAGGAAACGAGCCCCTTTTAAGATGCTCCCCTCATTATGAGTTTCTCCTCATTTGTTCATTAATGAGGATTTCTTTATTGAATGAGGGCAGTGAATATCACTCGATTTTAAAGATGTTTGAAATGAAAAGTTTATTTATATTTCTTTTTTGCTCATAAAGGACGCGAGAGAGAAAGAGAGAGAGAGAGAGAGAGAGAGAAAGAGCAAAGACCTGGATAGTCATACATGTAATCAACTATATAAACCCAAAGACATACATATACAAAAATATCAACTCTCAGATTTGAAATCCATATAAACACCATCATCATCACAAGCATAAATACATCATTCTAATCTTATAAGCTACCAAGGTCCTTGCTTAACACTTAATTGATGCACAAACACAAAAAAAATCATAAAACTCCCAGTTACCTTATTGAATTCAAGTGTAATTGAATCATGGTAATTTCTTGGCCATTACTTGCTGTTTACGATTTTCCTTCTTCTCCATCTTCTTCCACCGTTTATCGCCTTCCTTTCACCCTTTCTATCTCCTCCCAACACACACCGTAAATGAAACCCATTTCATAATATCCTTTGGAAAATGCGAACACGCGCGCCGTAGAATTTCGTATGGTAAACACGCGACTGTGACGACACCGAGAAAATCTGCATGTTGTTAGAATCGCGATTCTGATTTGCTTAATTAGAATGAATAGAAATCGCTCAATTAGCGAGTTTCTTGGAAATTGTTGCTCCGGCGGGGTCATTACTTCCGTGTCTTAAGGTCGAATTTCTCGTCGGAATCGTACGGAGGCTCGACCATCACGGCGAGGAGGTTCACGGAGTCCATCTTTTCTCCTTGCATACTGTGAGGTCGGAGGAGCCAGCAGACCTTTGGCCAACAGTGTCTCTTCGAGTGCCGTCCAGGACACCCAAGTGGCACTCTCGCTTAAGGCACTCGACCGTGAGCTTAAGGTATATATACTAGTTCTCCAAAATTACTCTTGTTTGCCTCCCAAAGTACATCCTTATTTCATATTTCTTATGTATTTTGTACATAATAGTTTTGAATTTATTTTTTCTTGTTCATGCTTTTCTTTCATTCGTCCATTATTTTTTAATCGTATTTCATCACGAAAAAAGTACACAGCTTCACACTTATGGTATATTCTTAATCATGGTTATAGCAAAGAACTGCGTTAACAAGATGAAAACACTCTTATCTCCGTGAACAAAATTAGTAAGATATAAATAAAATAACAAGACAGAAAAAACACTTATATACATTACGTTATATCTTATCTTACTTTCGCACAATAACAGAACCAAGAAGGAAAACCGAAACTGCACTTTGAAATATATCTTACCCAACCTCGACAAAATTCCCTTAATTACAGTTCACCGATTCTCTCTCTCTCTCTCTCTATCTCCCTCTCCCTCTCCCTCCCTCCCTCTCCTCCCTCTCTCTCTCCATCTCTCTCTCTCTCTCTCCTCTCTCTCTCTCTCTCTCTCTCATCAACCTCACCACGTGCGATATCGGAAATATTAATTTTCCGAAGATCCATTTTCATTATTATGATTGATTAACACCGATTCACAGCTGACCATTGGCAAGGATTTTGTATCAGTAAGATTTGTGGATCAATTTGTAGCATCCTGATTCTGCTCGGTCCCAACCATAGGCTCTTTGGGCGTTAGCGTTCAATAGGAATCTGTGGCCGATTCGTTGATATAACTCAGTTTGTCTCTCTGGCTTTTTTTCTCTCTCTCTCTTTCTCTGTCTCTGTCGATCTATCTATTTGTCTATCTTTATGAATATGTATATATAGATACATATATATGTATGTATACGTGTACATATATGTATATATGTATATATATATACTATAGATAGATAGATAGATAGGTAGATGTAGATAAACTGATAGATACATGGATAGATGCTTATATATTTCCATACCTACCTATCTATCTTCATACGTATATATATACATATGTGTGTGTGTGTGTGTGTGTGTGCGTGTGTGTGTGTGTGTGTGTGTGTGTGTGTGTGTGCACCCAGCAGCCAGAAATCCCACAGACATAAAGCCCCAAGGAACCCGCCTGACCTCAATCGAGCGTTGAACAAGGCGGGGCCGAAGTCCGTCCACCGCGGACTCTTTCCTTTGTACTGCGGAATTGCGGTCTTTTTAAAGGCGATAAAAACGACTTTTATATCACGAGGCGCTCCCATAAAACTGTACAAAGTACTCGTAAACTCCATAATACTGTAATTAAAAATGTGCAAGGATGGATGGATTTTTGGGTTGGAAATTTTAGATATTCGTCTGTATATTCCCAGACTTTCCGTTGTATTCCTATGCATGTCGACCTCGCTATGTATGTGTATCTACTTCCTTTTATAAGCTGCGTGTGTACTTATCTATCTGTCTATAGATCTCTATACAAACACACTGCACGTCTATTAATGTTTATATATAATCTGCAAGAACTGTTAATATATTTAAAAAATGGAAAGAAAGAAAGAATAACTTAACTAGTGAAGTTACCACACTAACTTTAGGACAGCGGAAGACAAAAAAAAAAAAAAAAAAAAAATACACACGCTTCCCTTTGTACACAAGGCTGTATAAAGTACAACGGCGCCGTGTAAACAAAATATACGTGTTATTTACCTACAGCAAGCGAAGAGAAAGAATCCTGTAGAGATGATTAGATTTTTTTTCTTTTTTATTATATAATTTCTATCTTTGAGCTACATGTGTGTTTGTAGGTGTTCTAGTTATTATCATTCCTGTTATTATTATTATTATTGTTGTCATTTCTATTAGCATTACCATTATTACCTTTGCCTAGGAGGTTATGTTTTTGGTAGCGTTAATTAGTTTGCTTGTTTGTTGGTTTGTTGGTTAGTAGGATAATTTAAAAAGTTATGGTGATCCGCATCATGATCCGGATCCTGCTTTGGATAACCCAAAAAGTAATGAACAGATCTTTTGATGAAATTATTACCAGAGGTGTGTCTTGGCCCAACTAAGACTAAGACACTAATGGTGGTGGTGATTAGGATCCAGGGCATTTTTAAAGGATTCATTGCCATTGCGAGATAGAGGAACACGGACGTCATCAGTGTAATTGAGAAAGAGGTGATCTTGGTGTGAATCTTCAAGTGAGAATATTTTTATTGCATCAGTGACCCTATTGCCTTGGCGGAGGTATGCGCTCTCTGAGTGCTTCTAGTTACTATTGTTATTATCATTATCATTATTGTTATTATCGTCATTTTTGTTATTACTATCATTCCTATTATTGATAATATTTTTATTGTTATCATCATCATCATCATCATCTTCATAACGATCATTATTGCTATTATGAATTATAATCATTATTTTCTTTCTTCTAACTTTCCTATTTTCCTTCTTCCGATACTGAAACAACTTCTTTTTCTTCCTTATTTCTGCTTTTTTCTACACCATTTTCCCTTTTTCATATAATCTGCTTTATCTTTTTATCACCACAAGGATTGTAAAAAAGAGAGAGAGAAAAAAAAAAACACCGTCATTACTCTAATGTTGCTATTAAGACTGCTGCTCTTTACACTTACATTATCACCATCATCTTCAAAATAATTATAATTAGCAGTCATTATTATTATCATAGTCATTATCATTATCATTATTCTTATCATCGTCATTATCATTACCAATGGCATTATTATTATCATGACCATTATCATCATCACAATCATCATCACCACCACCACCATCATCACCAATCATCATCATCATCATTATCAACATCACAGTCACCATCACCACCATCCTCATTACTCACTGGTCCTCCTCTTCTTCCCAGACATCCTTCCAAAATGTTGCGTAGAAGCGGTTCCTGGTTAATGGTGTTCCTGGTCATCGGAATCTGGTCCTTAGTGGAGGCTGAGGTGAGTTGCACTGTGTTCACTCTTGGTGTCTGCCGTTGGTGCGTTTATGTAGGATTTGATATGTATATGTATATATATATATATATAATATATATATATATATATATATATATATATATATATATATATATATATATATATATTATATATATGATATATATGTATATATATTATATATATATATATATATAAATATATATATATATATATATATATATATGTATATATATATATATATATATATATATATATATATGTGTGTGTGTTGTGTGTGTTGTGTGTGTGTGTGTGTGTGTGTGTGTGTGTATGTGTGGTGTATAGTATATATAATATAATATAATATATATCAATATATATATATATATATATATATATATATATATATATATATATATATATATATATATATATATACATATATATATATATACATATATATATATATATATATATATATATATATATATATATATATGTATATATATATATATATATATATATATATATATATATATATATATATATATATATATATATATATATATATATATATATATATTATATATAATATATATATTGATAGATAGATAGATAGATAGATATTGTTCTTTCGTTCTTTGTTTCTTTCTCATGTGTTTCCTTTTTTCTTGTATCTTCTCTCTTCTCTCTCTCTCCTCCTCTCTCTCTCTCTCTCTCTCTCTCTCTCTTCTCCTCTCTCTCTCTCTCCTCTCTCTCTTCTCTCCTACCCATCCTTCCCCTTACCCCCATCACCTTCCATCCCCCCCCCCCCCCCCCTTCCCACCTCCCAATCCCCCTCCCCTCCCCTTCCATCCCCCCCCCCCGAATCCTAATTTCGACCCCCCGCCTCCTTTCTCCTAACCCCCACCCCTAACTCCTTTCCTCCCTCCCCCCCCCTCCCCTCCAACACCCCTCCCTCCCACCCTCCCATCCCATTCCCCCCCCCCCCCCCCCGAATCCTAATTCCGACCCCGTCTCCCGAAGGACGCGGCGCAAACGGCAGCAGAAAGGGTTGGCGGGACCTCCAGCCGGCTCGCTAATCCTTGCGCGGGCGTGTGTGTCCAGCGAGATAGCCTGGCGCAGTGCAGGAGGGCGGAGGGAGTCTGCGAGGAGGAGGGCATGAGCTGCTGCCGTGAGGACGAGGACTCCCCGGGCGAAGGTGAGGTTGGTTTGTCCGGTCGTCTCATGCTCTTGGTATTACTATTGGTCTTTCTGCTTTTTTTTTTTTTTTTTTTTTGTCTCTTTCTTTCCGTTCTGGTTCTTTTCTTCGTATATACTAGTTCTCTGTTTTTTATTACTATTAGTTTTTCATTCTTCATTTTATTAGAATTTTTTTAGTCATCCCTCTATGTTTTATTTTCCATTTTATCATTTTCATTTTATTTTTATTTTTGTGATTTTCTTTTTCTTTTTTTTTCTTTTTTTGCCTTTTTATCTTTCATTATTTTGTGATTTGTTATGAACTTTTTACGTTTCTCTTCTCCTTATTTTTCTTTTCTATTTCCCTCTTATTATCCTTCCTTTTTTCTTTTTATCTTTTGTTTTTTCCTTTCATTTTCTTATTTCAATTCTTTAGTGTGTTTTTTTCTTCATTTTCTTCTTTCTTTTCCTTAATCTCTCTTTCCATTTTAATTCTTGATATTCAGTAATTAAAAGTATTAGAATTGTAATCACCATCATCATGATTATTGTTATTATCATTTTTATATAATTTTTTGTTATCATTATTATCATTATTATTGTCATTATCACTATCATTATTATTGTTATTATTATTATCATTATCACTAGTATTGTCAATGTTATTATTCTAATCGTTGCTATTATCATTATCATTATTATTATCATCGGCATCATGACATTCATTATATTTGCTTTTGTTGTTATTATCATTATTCTAAATATTTATACGATTATTATAATCATCACAATAATCGTCATTATCCAA